TTGGAGAAGAGCCTTGCTTGTGTCTCTGATGAGCACTGCCTGGGAGCAGCCACATTCCTGGCCTTTGCAACAAGTCAGCAGTAACAAAAAGGTCATTTACATCCTCACCATCTGTGTGGCAGGGAGTGGGGCCAGGGCTGCCAGAGAACAGCCAGATGTGCTCTGCAGGGGTGTCTGTGCTGATATCATTACAGATTTGGGGGCAGCCTGTCCTGGACCCACAAAGATATCAGTGATGGGAGATGCTGAGCAGCTCAGGGCTGCTGGTAGGTACCTGCTGCTGCTCCTATCTTCCCTGAATGCATCCATCATTTCCAGGATGGATGGACCTTTGGCCTGGCTCTGGCTGAGTGATTTTTACATCCAGGACAAGCTCTCACCCAGGCCACACATCTCTGACCTACCCCACGTCCAAATCCCAGCCAAGACACAGAGGCCAAACAAACAGACAAATCCACAGACCCAGGTTCAAAGCCCTTGTTCAGCCTGGAGAGGAAGGCAGGGAGGATGCTTGACGGGAGATGTGATGTGACCACTCCCTGCCATCCCACTGGAGCCACCTGCCCCGTCCCCTGCTGAGCAGGCACAGCCAGCCCCGGGGCTCGTGTGGCCCTGTGCGTGCAGATGGTGACGGGTGGCTCCCCAGCCAGCACACCAGCCCTCCCCAGGGGCTGAGGCTCCGCACGACATCCCTGTCAGGGGCAGGGAGCATCGCCCAGCACGGGAACAGGGCTGAGCTCTCCCCAGCAGCGTTCAGACGTGCTGGGATGTGGGGTTAAGTCTAACCGGCATGGGACAAGGCACTTTGCATCTCAAGTGCAGCCGTGGAGGTGTCTGTGTTGCCCAGGTGGGGATTTGCCAGGGGACAGGTCCCCATATGCACCCCCCTCCTCCTTCAGCAGCACTCAGTGAGTGCCCTGAGTGTTTCCCCACCCAAAGCATTATCCAGGGGGAATATTCAAGTGCTCCAGGGTCATTCTTGCCTTCTCTGGTCACACATCCTCAAGGAAACCCACCCTAGAGCACGTGTGAGGCCCAGCCTGCCTGGGAGCTGCCATCCCCCAAACACAACCCCACATCCAGGCGTGCCCTGCTGTCCCCTCCTGGCCCCGTGTATGCCTTTAACAGTTTGCTGGATTACCCATTGCAACTAAAATAACAAAGCTACAAAAGAAGAGGGCAAACAGACGCGATATTCTGCAGCAATTAGGGCTAAAGATGGGAGCAGGGAGCAGGGAATGAATGGACAATGGGGAAGGCAGGGACATGGCAGCCCGGGTTCCGACAGGCTGGGCACGGACTGTCCTCAAGAGGCCGGGTCCAAGCCAGGGAGCAGCGAGCTGTCCGTAAGGAAAGCAGGGAGATGAAAAGGGTCATTTAAACAAGCACGGGGCAGTCCCCACAGGGCCTCCCTGTCCGCTTGGCTTCACCACACAGTGTCCAGGGAAGAGCAGCTCCCTCTTTCCCCCCCTCCAAACCCTTTCAGGTGGCGGGGGGACGCTGGCAAGCTGCGGTGGGCTCTGCTTAGAAAGGAAGGAATCCATTAATCTCTCTGGTAATTACTGCCACATATGGATTTGCACAATTACACTTCGTTAATTGGTTATTACAGGCAAGCCAGACTGATTGGGCAGAACGGCTGAGCTTTAACCCCTTCGCTGCCCCCCCTCCCCGGGCCAGCCAAATTCGAGGCAGCCTTCCTCCCAAAACAGTGCTTTATTCTATATTTATTGCTGGCTCCACAGCTCCCAGCACCCACACAAGACATCTTTGCTCCCATGCCTTCCTTTCCACTGGGGATCCCAAAGAAATGGACCCAAGGGGAGAGGAGTGAGCCTGCACCCCAGGCAGCTTCATCTGCTCAGGGTTTGCAGCAGACACACCATGAGCTCCCCAGGGTGCTGAGGGATGGCAGGCTCAGATTTTGTTTGTTTTCAGAGGGAGACTGAGATGCCTTGTGCACTTCGGCTTTGTGCCCTCAAGCCCAGCAGGGTCGGTGCCAACGACTGAAGAATCCACCCCTGGGTCTGTCTCAGTCTCTGAACTCAGCTTCTCCTACAGGATTTGCAGTGTAATGCTTTTCTTCCTCCAAACACTGAAAACAGAGGCTTTACTCTAGCCACAAATACATACATAACCAGAGTAATATAAGCTATAACAAAAAAAAAGCATAGATAAAGCCCTTTTAAAACTCCTGACAGGAGTGGAGGCAGCCTGGCCTCTCCACAATGCAGCCATCACCTCTGCCACCCCTCACAGGACCATCCAAAACCCGGCCCCAAAATGTTCTGTTCAGGATCCAGCAATATTCCTGGCCAATAGGGAGGTCAAGGTGAGAGCAATTTCTGCCAGAGCTGTATCAAAGGCTTCTCGTTAAAAAAAACTGTAACAGGAAAGGAACTAAGAGCTTTGCAAAATCCCCACAGGGCAGAAGAGCTCATCTGATGAGAGAGCTGTGCTCAGCAACCACCAACATCAAGGACAGCAGGCTTTGGCATCCTGGTCCTTCAGAGCTGCTGCACTGCCCCTTGGACACAGGAGAGGGCACAGAGGAACCTGCTCCAGACAGCTCCTGTCTCTCCCAAGGGCAGCAGGATATTGCTTAGCCCAGGCGAGGGGCTCACAGAGCCGGGCATCACAGCAGGCACATGGTGAAGGCTTTCAGCTCAGCTTCTGGATCACCCCTGCAAGCCACTGCAGCAGGAGCAAGGGAAGAAAGCAAGATCACAGCAAGATGAGAGGAATCTACTTCCAAACCAGCCTCTTCCTGTGGGTTAAAAAGTCTTTGGGACCTCAGCTGGAACAGAAAGTATCTGCAGCAAACACATTCCCACCCTTTCCTCCACTGCTGTCAGTGCAGTGATGCCTGCTACAACACTCTAGGTTTGGCCTAGGTGTAATCTCCTCATTAGCTAATTAAAGTGCTTTTAATGTTCCATCTCCACTGCCAGGAGTAGCCGAGCAAGAAAAGTCTCCCTGGAGGTCACTGGAGTCACATGAAAAGTTGCAGCAGGAGTTGTTCCTGTTGTTCCAGTCACCTGTGATTTCCCAGCTCCCTGTTTTCACAGGGACATTTGTTTCTTTCTGATGCAGAAGCCAGCTCCAAGCTGGCTGTCTGAAGGGGACCACGGCAAAGGCAGCATCTCCCAGCTCCCTGCCAGTGTTTTTGGATGTGCGTGAGCTTGTCTCTGAGGCAGGGAAAGGCAGGAAAGCCCAGGAAAGGTTGCAGACCTCTCCCCTAAACCAGCTGCCTCTGCAGCATTCAGAATAAATCTTCAGAGCTGTCAGTGGGAAGATGGGGCAGAACCTGCAACTGAGCTTAAAAAGGTCAGCTGGGAAAAGTCAGGATGGGGAAGGATGGGGAAGGATGGGAAGGATGGGGAAGGATGGGGAAGGATGGGGAAGGATGGGAAGGATGGGGAAGGATGGGGAAGGATGGGGAAGGATGGGGAAGGATGGGGAAGGATGGGAAGGATGGGAAGGATGGGGAAGGATGGGGAAGGATGGGGAAGGATGGGGAAGGATGGGAAGGATGGGAAGGATGGGGAA